AAAAATTTTATTAAAACTTGGAAACAAATTTAAGATTTAATACTGAAAACTTTATTTTTAAGAAAAAAATTTAATTGAAAGATTATTACCTACATAATATGCAAATTACGCAAAACAACACACAGAAATATGAAGGTAAGTATGCCTTGAGCATTGCTTTTTACCGTAACCAGCTAGTTGGGGCTTCCTCTTCATTTAAGTTTACCACTACAAATACCGCAGCGAAATGTAGAAATGTGTACATACACACACGTGTCTACAGCAACAAATGTATAATATCACTGTCATCAAATATTAATTGATTATTCAATAGACGCATGCATATGAACGCTATGCAAATGGCTAATGTGCGCAAATATCTCAGGTTACATGCCTCACAAATGGGATTAAGGCCTTAAGACCGGTATGCAGCGGAGGGTTTAGGCAAGGGTATGCAGCAAATTAGTGCTATTTTAAGGCATACCAATAGAGTAATAGGACATAATAGTTGATTAATAGCGGAATGTTGGGCACTGGGGCAATCGAAGGAGCAGATGTCATACTGTTGGAGGTGGAGTAGTATAGCAGTATTGGAACCGAATGACAGTCTATCCCTTGAAAGTTCGGCGATTGAATATTTTGTTCTCAACGTAAGCTGAATCATCTCCTAATATGAGCTACAGAATTAATTGGATGTAATTAATGAACATTTTTAAATGGCTAGAATTTAGGGAAACAGAAAAACTTCGATTGCAAAGACTGGAATACCCTTTACGAATAAAAATGTTTCCATACAATGACTTGATTTTGATCGGTCAGTTTGTATGGCAGCTATATGCTCCAATAAATAAATGAGCGCCTTACTGGGAGAAAGTGTACGAATATCTCTGAGGAACTAATATATGGTATGGTATATGGTCCACAGGCAAAAGATCACACGGACATGGCTTAATCGAGTAGCTCGTCAACCTGATCGTTTATATACATATATACATATACATACTGTATTGCAGAGCTTTCTTGTTGTAGTGCAGAAAAATCATCGAAATCACTTAGCGGTAGGTCCAAGAAATTGACAATTTCGACGGGATCAGATCAAAGGAGAGGGTGTGAAATGAGTTTAGAGGTTATTATTTTCATCATTCTGGGAAAATATACCAACATAAACTGCTTAGAGAGGAGTGCACTATCCTTCTTAACAAAAATAGCAAGAATAATCCTGTGATAGTGCGGAATTTGACTGTATCTTCTTCAGCTGCAATTTGCTGCTGCTGCTCTGTAGTTTGGAAATATTCCTGGTTGTGTGCGGAGTTAAGGAGTGTAGACTTGTAAAATTCAAATTCTAAAAATATTTCGGGTTGTTCACGGTCTTGATTTTAGGTCATCGTCAAAATAATTAATCTTTGTCTGTGTTTCTTCGCCTAATTGGTGAATAGGGTCGGTGCACCTTGCAATGAAGAACCAGGACGGATCCAGACGATAAGACTACTTGAAATTCAAGGTTATGCCTTTCAAATGAATGTGAATTTAACTATGTAAAGCGGAATGGATAACTGGTTTATACTACATAGGTTACAACAGATTTTGGAGTAATAAAAAAAGAAAAAAAAAATTGTTATTTATTTCATTTGAGTAAAATCTTTTTTCAGCGAAGAAATTTTTGAATTTTTTTGGGACAGAGGAAATAAATGGTCCTAGGTCAATTGTCAAGGTATATGAGCGTCAAAGTTGAAAAATTGCTGTGCCCATCGCCTGCAAAGCGAGGAAGAGGTGAACACAGTGGTATAGGTTAGTGCTCTAAGGCAAGAATAGTGATATTTTCAGTTAGGACAAAGCCATTTAATATACATCTGAAGAATGCAAAATTGTTTAAGCAACCGGGAAAAAATTTCGTTTCATCTCGCTCTTTAAAATAAGAAACTTATAAGTGGCTCGCCTTGTAAGGAGACCAAATTAATTAAATTATATTTTAAGCTATAGCGAACTTTAATAATAAGCTTTAAGCTTTCGCCTGAAATGTGTACTCACCTTATATAAATGATTTCATCGTTGTTGGCCTGTCTACGCCAACCCGGTGCCAAATTAGCATTAGTAGCGCTGACAGCACTTGGCTGCCCTACGGTGGAGTTTGTAGTTGTGGCCGTAGTGGCAGCAGATGCAGCACCAACACTCACATTATGAGTGGTAGGGGTGTTGCTTATGGTAATATGTTGACGTGAAGCAATTGTAGGTGGCGCTGCCACAACATTATTATTCATTTTTAGTGAGTGCTGTTGGGTTTGGTGTTGTTGCAAGCGTTGTTGCGGTTGCTGTTGCTGTTGCTGCTGCTGCTGCATTGCCGCATTATTTTGTTGTGTTTGCTGATAAATATTCATTGGCTGACTGCGTGTTGCAGCATTGCTTGCAGCAAATACAGTGCCACCACCGTTAACCAAACCACTGGTCATCGTTTGCGACAGCGCGTGTTGCTGATTTTGTTGTTGCTGCTGCCGCGACGGCTGTAAATGTTGTTGGTGTTGTTGCTGTTGCTGCTGCTGCTGCTGCAATTGTTGCTGTTGCTCCTGCAGGTGTTGCTGCGTGAACAGTGGCGAGTTGGAAGCGACACGCGTGGTAAATTTCGCAGCACGCAATTGTTGCTGCTGCTGCTGCTGCAATTGTTGCTGTTGCTCCTGCAGGTGTTGCTGCGTGAACAGTGGCGAGTTGGAAGCGACACGCGTGGTAAATTTCGCAGCACGCAATTGTTGCTGCTGCTGCTGCTGTTGATGTGCATGCTGCTGTAATTGCAGTTGTTGCTGCTGCTGTTGGTGCTGCAGCATTTGCTGTTGCCCATTATTTAAGTGTTGCAATTGCAATTGTATGTGCTGTTGCATCGGTTGTTGCTGTTGTTGTTGTGGCAACTGCAGCACCGTCTGTTGCTGCAATGTCAGTGCATGCTGTTGCTGTTGCTGCTGCGGTTGTTGTTGTTGTTTCATTGATTGCTGAAAGGATTGTCGCAATCCAATTACATTTATATCGTGTTGTTGTTGTTGCTGCTGATGATTCAGCTGTTGCTGTTGTTGTTGCTGCTGCTGGTGCAATTGTTGGCCAGCACTAGCGGCAGCCATTCTAAATGCACAAATTACACTTGAGTATGAGAGACTACAACACACAATGTTTTCTGAAACGAACGAGAAAGAGTGGAAAATAAAAATTAATTAATTTGCGGCTAAACACTATTAGCACATCAATCAACAAACAAAGCACATTTATTTATGCAATTTCATTCGGTTATTTAGCCTTTTTAACACATATCACTCTCACTTATAAACTCAAGAATCCATTAATTTTTGTGACTTTTCAATGAACTGCGGAGATCGCGCCCGAAATAGTTTAGCTTTCAACATCAGCTACCTGCCGCACTTGCACAGGCACACATACGTTCATCCATTTCACACACTCATGGTTCGTTGCGCGAGCGAGCGATGACTGCTTCCCCACATACACACTCATGCTTACATATGTACACATCTACATATGTTTGTATTGAGGTGCCTACTTGGAAGGGTACAAAATCTACCATTTGTGTATTTTCATTAAATGTTTGTTGTTCTTCCTTCCCTATTTGGCCTTCTAATCCGGAGCAGGTAATTTTTTGCTTGAGCATCGACTTTCAAGTGTTGCGCAGTGATGACTAAATTTCGGATTATCTTCAATCAGTGCGGGTTATTCCAAACATTTATTCCGATACATTGATTTTGTGAAATTTCGATGAGTCAGTAAAAAATGTTGCCTTCAACACCAGGATGACACTCATGCACATATGCATGTAGTATGCGCCATTGGCGTTAACGCCTCAATTTTATTTGTATTGTAATTCTTTTTTGAAAAAGATTTACATATGTTTTCAAGTGTGTGCATCGTTGGACGAACACACAAGTGGTTGTTTCTTTTGGGGTGTAGAATTGCCTACATTTCCTTTTATCAACCGTTGATAGACACAGAGATTAGGTCATCTCTCTTCACGTAAAGAGTTTTTCCAAAAATTTTCTTAAACACTTGTGTCTGTGCCTTAATTACCACACACATACATATAGGCATTTCGGGTAATGTTACATATCTAATATAGGATTTCAGCCTGAGTTGAAAATTTTTAAACAGAATCGTCCTTCCATCCTTATGTACATATGTATGTTATGCTTGAAAAAAGTCGCTGGAGAAAATTACATATTACATACCGAATTGTAAGAAAACCAAGGAAAATGACATTAAAACAATCGGTCATGTGATACTTTCATCTCATTCAAAACATATAGTTTAAAAAATGTGTATAACTTAAGGGATTATATTGCGATTATTTTTTGAATCAAATATAAATATGTATATTTTCATTATAAAATGCATTTTAAAAATCGTTGATTCAAAAAAGCGTTTCCGTGAAAAATTTTAATTTTTCAAAAATTCATTTTTTTGGCATAATGGTGAAAATGAGATATTTTCCATATTACAAAGTTACCTTTATGAAAACTGTCCAAGGTAGGATTGCAAATAAGACACTTGAAAAATAATTTAAACAATTTCTTCTGAATTTTGTTAACAGGAGCATTCGAATTAAAACTAATAATCCAGTACCAATACAGCATTAAAATTTTAATAATAACTTTTTAGTAACAAACATCGGATTGGAAAATTAAAAATTAAAAATTTAATCGCAATATCCGGAATAATAATTAACAAATTTTAGTCCCAAGTTTTTTATTAAAAGTAAATCAAGTAAAAGTAAAGTAAATTTTTTTATTTCTAATTAAATATGAACACAATTTAGCACTTTTTGCCTTATTTACATTTAATTAAGAATTTTCGGTTAGAAATTTCTACGTAAATCTTGCCTTATTATCTCTTTTATTCTAGCTTTCATAATTAAAAATAATTATTTTATTTTTTATTCCAATTTTTAAATAGCTGATAAATTTTTAATTCTTATTATGGGCTTCTAAAATACAAATTTTGAATTCAGAATTTATTAATAAAAAATTCACAACAGAGTTTAACGAGCTCTCACACATCTTAAATTTAATAATCCCAAATAAATACATACATATGTACATATGTATATCCAATCAGAGAATTTGCAAACTAATATCCAAATATACGAAGTTGAACTAAGATATAGAGAACTAAGTAAAGTAAACCTCGTAACTTTACAGCTTAAATAGGAAGATAATAAACAAATCAAAATTACAATCAGAAAGTAACAGCGCCAACTGGTTTCTTATTCATACAATGCGACAAAGATTATTTGCTCTATTATCGCTTAAAATATGAAAAGATTAGGCACACACTCGTAACTAAATCACAGTTTGCATAACACTTTTAACCTATTACCGGTTTGCATAAGCTCACTTCATTGAGTTCAAATAGCAACGCCACTCACCTGTTTATGCAATAATTGTTGTGAATCAAAAGTCAAGCGCTTCATATTCCAACAACAATGGCATCGCAAATGAACTGCTGCTGCGTGTTGATGCTCGACACAACGCTAACAAAGCGGTAGGAGATTTACACGATTTTACCAAATGAACGCACTAACTGACTATAAATACACGCACACACATCTTTGTTAACGGCGATCAATAAAAAATTTTCGATTGCAGAGCATTAAAAGACGACAATATTTCTCGCACTTTTTCACACATACACACATGCACGCCGAGCTTCAGCGCACGAAGCAAGCAATATTTTGAATATTTCAATGAATTGGCAACGTTTATGATTAATTTCAAAGCAACTCAATGCTCGTGTTAATTGCTCAGAAAATTTATTTATTTATTATTTACAATGAAAAACGCGGTTGACTAGCACAAACGATTTAGCTTCACTTTATTTGATTTAATTAAATATTTTTTTCTGTTGGTTTACTTTGATACCGAAGAAGAAGACGATATACCGATAGTAGCGAGAGTTAACGATACGTAACGCGAGAGCCGAACTCATAAATGTGACGATTGGCAAAGAGGAGAGCCACGAAACACGCGACAACAACGCTGCTGTAGCTATTGGGTTGATAGCAGCAATTCAATGTTGGGTGTTGGGGGAGGCACCACCACAACTACTACTACTATGGACAAAAGCAGCAACACGCGCGAAAGTAGGTGAGTGGAGCACACACACCTAAAAAATGTTGCAATTGTGGTGACTGCCTGATTCTGCTACTCACACTGTTTGTTTTCCACTGCTGCTATGCTCTTTGGATATTCACGCTTTTTCGCTTTTGACTTTAGCACTGCAGGCACTCTGCCATTAGCTCACTGATCCACCTCAATTCTAATTGTTTTGTTGTATATTTTTGTATCTTGGAATGATTATTTTTTCGCGTTTTCGTTTACGCTTTTTTCTTGTATGATTGTATACACAAATTACCGTTATACTTAATAGTATAAACGCTTAGGTAATTTATTTAGTTTTATTTATTACTTTCATTTTGTATTTGTAAGGGCTGGTACACCGCTTCTTCACTATACACTGTGTGTTGAAAGAAATTTCTACTTTCAATATATGACACTTTGTGTGAATTAAAATTTCACTTTCAAATTTTGTATGTATTTTTAACGAGAAATCGTTAATTATGCACGCCTGTTATCACACAACTGAAATAAATGAATAAATAATATTTCGGTAGGCACACCACACCACCTGTCCGCAGCGGGGAGCACGAGTAATACTTAATTATGCTTGCACAAGGACGATCCAATAGTGAGCGGTGTGAGCCCTATGGGCTTTTGCAAGTGTTCTGCTCTAATGACCAGCGCAGCAGCTGTTTATGTTTTTATTTTTGTTTTTTTCGTTTGCTGGTCAACAAGCGATACATGCACTGCGGGTATTGCAGAGATACATACGCACACATGCACGAAAATACTTTCCCCTTTAGCGCACACTTTGATTTCAACACCACTTTGCTATGTATGACCTCAATATGTGCATGGTATATTATATTTTGGTGCAAATGTAAATATTTTCAAAGACATATTCACGCAAACTTGTATTATCAGGTATTGAATTTATTTATTTTTGGATTAGACATTGGTATTATAATGCTGCACTAATTTTGATAAATTTTCACACTTTTGACATGTTCAATTAACTCGAATATAATTTCATTCACTTTTGCAAATGAATCTAAATTTCTTCTCTTCGTAATCTCACACTTTATATTTGTTGCTACAATATGCTTCTTCTTATTAATATTTTTCTTCTCTTTCCACTATTTCACTTCCCATTCGCATTCATATAAATTCACTCACTCATTCACCAATTTGATAATTATTGACATTTAACTGCAATTTGCCATGCAAATTTACGATGAAACTATTTTTCAAAAAATATTAATTTTACTTGCACTTTTTGCACAATTGGAATTTTATTTTATTTTTTTTTAACCATTTATCGGCACAAATTTTAAAGACTTTCGAAAAAATTTACGCGTAACCGTTGTGCGGACAAGCACTCAGCACGAAATTCAATACAAAAGTGAGAACCAATTATTTTCTGACTATCGTGCTTTCGTGCCTGGCTCACTCGTTCATTCTTCGTGCGTTATCATCGTTTATTCGCTGCTCGGTATCGGATTTTATTATTGCGACATCTGTTGTGGAAGAAAAACGAGAAATGACGAAACATGATAAAATGTGAGCAAAACAAAAGACATAATTATCTACATAAAATATGCAAAATATTTAAATAAAATGATTGCACAAAAAATTGTTTATTGCCAGAAGCAAGAAGCTGTGGTAATTACTTTCGAATAGCCAATTAGGTATTGAGTAGTTTTAATTTCTTGTTTCTTCCAAATGTACCCTGACTATTATGCGAAATTTGAGAAGAGAAATCAATTTTTTCTTATTTAATTAATGAAATTAAATATTCTTAAAAAATACAATTACAAAATTCAATGAACTAATTTGGCACTACTTTTTGTAAACCGTTTATGAATTTGGCAGCACTTGCGCCGCTGTCAAAACCATCTGTTAGCAATTTGTAAATTGGCGCTTATAACGTACAATTGGTTGCTTGTAAAAGTTCGTGGAGAAATAAAACTTTTGCTCATATTATAATTAAAAGTATTTATTTTTCTTAGTGTTTTTACAACATTAATGGTTAACAATTGAAAAGTTTGCATAAAGTGACTTTGAGCCGGACCCTCGAACTAACCTCAACGAGCCGGCAATTCGGCACCACGCATTTGTAAAATATTTAACAATTTTAAAATTGTTTGGCTAACGACATGTCGTTAATAGTGGAATGCAAAAAGCTGTGCTTACGCCGCTGCATGCTAGCGCTGCTATACAGCATAGCCATACAATATTTGCTACTTGGCTTTTTCCTTTTCTTTGTCAACTTTCATGTCCTCCATCCCTTGAATTGGATAAGCAATACAATAAGTGTGCTGTTTTCGTTCTATACGTGGTTTAGCATTTTACCACTGATTGGTTCCGTCGTCTTATATACCATATTGTTGGGGAAATCATTTCTCGCTGTGAAACGCTACTATCCGACGCGCTTCCAATGGTTCATCTATACAGCACCACGAAAATCACTATTCTTTTCTCTACATTTACTGGTTGGTTACTTAACCGCATGGCTTTATACCAGTTTCTTGCACGTAGATTACCGGTAAGTATTTGCGAATACATGTTGTTTACAAAGCAATTAATTTTCTGCCTTTACAGTAATATTGTATGTGAATGCTTTGGCACAAAGTGCATAAATAGTCGCTATTTATTCTTAATTTGTGTGGGAGTTTTCGCTGCTTGTTTGCATTTCACCAGAGAGAATTTACATACTGATCCCGAATTGGAATTCCCCATCATTCAGGAGTTAATGCTAATTAGAATTCGTTCTCTTATATACCGCACCTTATACAATTCATTATTGAAATCCTTCACGCCTACAATATGTTTTGCACTAGCTTACTGGTTAATTGGCGGCATAATAAATCGTTATTTCGCTATAGTTTTCACGCTGGATGTTGATGAAACCTCATTATCGTTTATTTCTATTGTTGTAAATGTGCGGCTTTTGTTCTATGGCTGGATCTTAGCGGCCCAAATTTTAAGTAATATGCATCTGATGCATTGTTTCTTCGCCATACATCTTTCGGAGGAAGTTGCTTTTATTATTGAACGCAAACCAGTGTTGTGTGGCACTGGTATAGAAGAAATATCTTTAGTGGATGCGCTCAACTCGTCATTAGTGCCAGTGGTGCAGAATTTGGGCGCCCGCGATCTGTATAATTTGTCAAGCAACAAAATGGATGCTAGGCGCAAAGAAATTTTTGCACTGTCAGTACCAGGTACTCTTAAATACAATTTATTCGTTTTTTTTTTTTTTTTTTGTTTTGATAAATAATTTCTATTGACTTTTAGGTGCACATCCATATAACTGGAATCAGCTTTCCTCACAGTGCTTAAGCCTTATCAACGCCTTTACCGAGGAATTAGCCGCATCTCTGAAAAAGATTTCAGTTGTTAAAACAGCGCCACTTTTTTCCACCATTAAGCCGACCACCGCTACCGAAGCTGCTGAAAAAATATTGCTACGCCAATATAACGAAACCTACGGCATTAGACGCATGATGACCGAAACTAATCAAGAAAATACCGAGACGGTAAAGAAGATGTCACCAGCTTGCAAGCGCATACATGATCAGGTTGAAAAAATAAAGAAACAATTTGAACAGACTTTGCGTGCTGCTTTCCGTATGATTCCCGGCCTGTATTACATGTTTGGCGAACCAGAAGGCGCTAAAACCGCTTACTTACTCTCTAACTCGGAAACGATTTTGTGGATAGTGCAAGGTTTAGCCGGCGTATGTACAGCTTCGCTGACGGAAGACAAATATGGTGTGGTACAAGTAACGCTACCACAAATAATCAAATCGTTGCTGACACTCAAAACTGAATTGGATAAATTGAACAATGTTAATTTGAATGGCCGAAAAATGGATCGCAATTTCATTGCACTCAAAAATGGCGTCAAACGCAGCTTGTACAATATCTGCACAGTTTTCAGCGACTATTTGCGCGAAATCGTCGATAATCCGGAAGATTTGCGGAAACTGCAATGCTATGTGCACTATGTGGAAACGTGAGCAAGAACTTGTATCTTATGCTAAATTATTCAATGAGTTGACTGTTTGTAAATTAAGTTTGGTTAAACACTTAGAATGTAATGTAATATATAAATATGTACGGTTTTTCTAACTCAATTAAATTTTAAGTCAATACAAATTCTGTGCGAAATAAAGTTAAGTTTTTCTATGCATCGAGAAGTAAAATTATACTAAAACTATTAACTAATACAATAATTAATACATATGACATTATTAAATGAAACATTTGATCATCTTGTCATCGATACGTTTTAATTACAAATGTCAGGGCACACACAAACTCAGATTGTCACCTGCAGCTGTTTATCACTTGTTGGTACCGTTACTTGTGTATCAATAGACCTGGTTGTAATAACTGGCCGCAACAATTTACTTTCGAAGTGCTCCGGCTTTGGCACTTTAATATCTTTGCCTGCGTTGATATAAGCAAATTAGTAGAGAAATTTGAAGCATTTAATTTGAACTACTCACCTAACGACCTTAGCGCCTTTCTAATTTCTTGTATATATTGCTCCTGATGTTCTATTGTTTCTTCCATTTTTAAAATATTGTTTGTTAAATTAATTGCTGCTTGTATTTTTTCATCCCTTTTACGACGTTCTGAACGCATTTGTCTATATTTACATCGCGGAGAGAGCAGTTCAATAATTATTGGAAAAAATCTGCTTGCAGAACTAACCGTGAAACTTCCGATACAACTGCGGCCCCACAGATTAAGAACAGCACAAATTCGCCCAACATACTGGCGCCCAAATCAATGGCAGCCGCTTCTGACAGTGGTTTTATATTTGTTGGTTTGCCCATCTTCATGGTCCACATCATGGTTCTGGTCTCCATTCTGTTGTACCCTTTGAAGGTTTACACACATCTTGAATTGCACTTAAAATCTTTTGGCGGTTTACTTACACTGTGCCGGTGGTATGCAAATATATTCACGAAAAATTCTATTATCCTTCGCTTTTTGCTTAATAAAATTCGCTACATATTTACTTAGCTGGCGCACGGCCAACATACCCAGTTTAAACACGGGTAAGGCGGGCATTTTGACAAAGTTTTTTAATTTCTTTCTGCTTTCACTGACAGTCTCAACTATTTTTTGTGTGGTTATTATTTTTATTTTTTCTGGCTTATTGGTGAGTTGGAAAGTCTAAGAATATCTATTTTAGTATTTTATCGATAATTTATTTTATCTCTTTAGTTTTCAATAAAACAAAATATTACAATAAATATTTTAATTAACACTTTTTATTCAAATTTCAAGCATTAAAACACGTTTTGGTCCTACAAAATAAGCAATATTTACAACCAGAATGTATGAAACATGCAAGTACATATGTATGTATGTGCAGTACTGAACTAAATGTACTCGATAACAAATAATCACACTTTAAGCGCAAATGCAAATTAAATCCTCAGGCAGGATGGAAAATAAAACTTGTACGTTTACATCTTTTGATCAACGAGTTACTGTAACACACTTTTTAAATAAGATTACAAATACGTAAAAAAACGTATAATTACACTGTAGAACGGATGTTTTATTTTTGTTTTGAAGCCGTTTCGATCGCATATTCCAACTTGGCTATCTCATTATTTAGCTGGAGTAATTCACGCTCTTCGGCTAGTCACTGCGCTTTTGAATTTTTAAGCTGTTGTTTTGTGATCACATTTTGTTGCACTGCTTCGTTTTCCACGTGTACGTACGGTTGGATATCCAAGTCATTGCTTACGGTTAAAGGTAGAGTGGATTCTTTCCTCTTGCGTCCATCAACAAAAACACGCGTCTCTAAGAAGTTTAATGCTCTGTATAGTAGGCCACCATTCGGATCATAGTCACCATCGAAATCTTTAACGACGATATTGCTTTGATCGGGAGTATTTGGATTGAAAGGCTGGTATTCAGCGATTGTTTCGCGGGTCCATTTGAATATATTACGCGATTCTGTATAGAAATATATATAAATATATATATGAGCGCTTAAAATTAATATACACATTTGTCAAAGAAATTGGCCAGTCTACGCTCGCTTCATAACACTTTGCGTTGACTTTTTTGGCGCTTCTGTACCCAACGAGGAATCAGGAGCAGCAGCTGTATTTGCTGAAGATGCTTTATTGTCTGGTGTGTTGGCCAAAACTGGCGTACTTATTGGTTTTCCTGAGAAAAAATAGGCAAAACATAGAATTGAATTGGTTTCAAATAGGACATCTCGTATTCGACTCGGTTAACAAATACGTTTACTAAAATGTTTACAACCAATCTATGGCGTCTGGTTCAACAAACAATAGTAACGAAATAACATTCTAATGAATGGCAAACAAAAATTGTGCAATGATTCCAAACAAAGTTTTATCACACAACATAGCATCATCAGCGAACACAGGTTGGGATTAACAAATTTACCTAAATCTGCCAGCGCACGCGTCATTTCCCTAATTTGTGCATCTTGGCGTTCCAAACGGAAACCCATTTCAGCCAGTGTTATTGCTAATTCAGCTTTTTCTTGGCGAATTGTTTCTTGCTTTTTCGCTTCATTGTTAGACTGGCTGTAAATGAAAAATTATGTACATATTATTTAAGTATTATGCAATTTTAAACAAACCGAGTATATTCGAATATAAGTACTGCAGCACCTATCACAAAAATAATGGCTTCGCCAAGCAAATTTGCGCCCAGCTCAATAGCCATAGCTTCGTTAAGCGGCGGCACTGCTACGGGTTTACCCAAATTCAGCGCCCACATTTTCGTTTTTACTTCAACCCAATTGTATACTGTAATAAAAAATAAACAACAACTTCTTTCATAAAAATAACAATAGTAGCAAAAAATAAGTTTGAAAAGTGCTCCCTACTTTTAGAATGACGTTATTGTGTTTTATAAAAGGACAACCAATCTCATCACATACATACATGTGAATTTAGTAACATCTTATTAAGTTTATTAAAGTACATATTTACATAAATTTTTACATTTACTGAATTACAATGTGCAGATATATACACACATTTATGTTTCACGCCTTTGGAGCAAAGTGATAACTCATAAATCTTGCTGTACTTACATTGAGCCGGTGGCATGCAAACGTATTTGCGAAATATGGGACTCTGCTTGGCATTACTTTTAATTACGTTAGCTATAGGTTTGCTTATCTGTTTTATGGCCAAAACACCTAATTTGGCGGCTGGAAAAGCGCCAATCGCCATCCTACACAAAGGATTTTAGTAACTTTTATGCTGTTATATGAATATATATCAAGGAGTAGATTTACGTAAACAGCTGACTCCTTTGGGCTTTTTCATTGACATTTGCTTAACCCGCTCACACTCAAACATATCATTTACCAATTGGTAAACATAAAAAGGTGCTTCTTGTAAGTTTTTAAGATAATTAATAAGTTGTTAATATTAGCACTAATCTTGACTTGACTTATTCTGTAAATAATAAATGTAAACCAATTTACGAGTAAAAAATATTGCTTACAAGTAATTTACCAAACCTACTTAACATTCTTAGACAATTTCAAAACACAAATTGATCTCATTTGATTTGACAAAAACAATTAATCATGTTCAGTAAACCCCATAATAGTCAAATTATACGAAGGCAACTCCATAACCACTAAAATTTATTACCCAAAAAGATGTGCAGATTTTATGTTTCATCAAAACAAAACTGAATCCTCATAATCCAAGATTTCTCACAGTGTACAAGCTGTCAATTGGAAACGACCTTACGCACAAATTACCTCTGTTTACGAATGACTGAGAAAAACAAAAAACCATGATGACAAATCGTGGTACCATATTTGATTGTAAAAATAAAAGAATGTCTTTAAATATTAATAATTACAAAGCAATAAATGAAAATAAACAAATGAAATAGTAGAAATGTATATTTATACAAATTCGCCTTCCTTTACAGAAGCTATTAAAATGCTTTAAAATAATTAATTATTCCTCTATAAGCCAACATCGAATTGCAACACTGTTCTTTACTCATTTCTTTCACCAGAAACGTCAACAATTTTCTTACTATTCGGTCTAGTTTTACGCTGTAGAAATTTTCGCAACCAGTATTTTACAATAAAAAGGTGGTTTTAATTCATAAAAATATTTGAATATTGTAATATAAGTGTTAAAGAATCGTTTCGTATTAAATTTTGTTAAAAAAATCCAATTTGAAAAGCAGAAAAATGCGTTTGAAAAAAATGTGATACGAAGAAAGTCTTAAAGTGGTCAAGAAAATATGTGAAAATTTTTGCCAGCAGTAAAAGTGGTAGTGTGGATAAAAAATACAACAACAACGATATAGCCAAAGCAATTTCTTATATTGTGTGTGGCCAGAAAAGTTACTACGCACCTGTCGATGTAACCACTTTTCCCTGTTATACTCTATCGTATGGTGTTACCTATTGCTTCATTGAACGGATTGGGCTTATATACAAATGACTACACCTTGGGTTCATATGGATAATATTAATCAGAAACTATGACCCGACAATAACAGTGTGTAGAAAAAAGTGATAAACACAGGAGTTGCAAAATGTTTACGAAAAAATCTCATGCGGATATAAAGAAGTCTACGGGCAAGTTTCAGGACTGCAAGAAGGATTCGACATCCCGATTGCGTCATTTGCGTACAATTCTAGGTATGTGGTAATCGACCGCTAATTAATAAGACCCATATTACCAAATGAGTTATTGAGCCAGTTTTTATAAGATATTTTAAATAATTCAGTCGTTTATCTGCGATCGAAATTAACTAGTTATGTTTGCGTGGGAGCGAAATACATGCTCTTATTGAACAAATATAGGCAAATGAATGAAAACCACTTTGCCGGCCTACGAGCTGGTGTACCATTAAAAGAAACAAATTGTATTCACAAAGTCGTAGCGGCAGTGGCAATGGCAATCATGGTCGCTAAATCAAATGCAACAACGTCACAGCAATCAACGGTTCACAACAAACGCTTATTAGCCATTAAATTTGTCTATTACAAGACTTGTGGTTTGTCGCTTATACTTTTATATGTTTGTATGTGTGTTTACCTCTTTCTTGTTCATTGTAAAGTTAACGTATTTAACCTTTGCTTTTGCTTCCTGCTTTTTCCTCAATGTTTCTACAAGAGTATACCTCTTGATCAGTCGACGATACCAAAATAATAAAATCACAGCGTATTAATAATTATGTCAATTTGTTATGTACAAATATATGCATGCACGTATGTTTGCAGGTAATACAAAAGCAAATCGATATAAAAATATTTAGTCGCTTCCACTCTTCTGCAATAATTTATATAACATACATTAATGTGTCCATTTGGCAAATGTAACGAAATGCGCATACATAGGCGGCTCTTGCGACGCACCGGCAATCATGCATCAAACACAATTGATAATCATTCATAGTTAGACGCGACTTCGTTGTGGAAGTGTAAGTATTTGTAGGACTGGAATCATTGCCCTTGGTTACCAGCCGTGGCCGAAACCCCGACGCGGTCATAAACGTTTATGTATGTGTTTGCAAACTCTTAGTTCTTTCATTTTCCTTTAATATGACAGCCGTTCGTATTATCGGCGTCAATGGCAAAGGTGTCTGCCTGCCGCTTTGTTGTTCTAGTATGTGTCTGTTCGCTAGTTTAAGCATGCTTTTCACGCTTTTAGTATCTTTTTCAAATTTTTTATATTGTTGTGATTTCTTGCCAGAATTCGTTGCGCTGCGTTTAAGGTGCTATTAGTGCGAGAGCTACGTACATAAATATGTACATATGAACATAGGTATATGCTTTGCGACGTTATTCCAATTCTATTTGGTTAACTGTTACTTGGCTCTATGACAGTTAGTCACTTAATTTGTTTCCATTCTAGCTGTTCACCCAGTGCGTTGACATGTGCCTACATTGAAACATATAGAACTTCTTAGCTTGTTACATATGTTATTTGTACATAGATATGTTTATATGTAGATAAGTATGTTGTATGGTATGTGTAAACCAAGTTCTATTTACGTCGTTACTGTGATTGCACAATAATATAAAAATATTATAGCTATTGCAGTGGTATCTCACTGTGGTCTCCATCTAATGCCATGTGGGTAAATACTTTTGTTATATATTTCTAAAAAATTATAAATATTTTCAAAAAATAACCGTCAAAATGATGTGATTATATAGTATTCTGATAAAACCACACACCTCATAACCTCTGCATATACATACATGTACACATTTACTTAAATAACTAACACAGTACTAAGTTATAGTGCCACAAGTTGCGGAATGTTGTGAACAATTCTAGATAACGCGTCGCAAAATTCACTTGTCAGCGATTGCTTCATGCTCGGTTGCTCTATGATAAATAGCATAAATTTGCCTTTTTGTATTTCTCTTTGCATTGTGGCAAAATAATCCATACTACTGAAAGTTCATAAAATTCCAGTTGGTATTCAAATATGAATCATCACTCTTTTTGTACCCTTTGGTTTGATGCTCATCTTCGTCATTTATAGCATGTCTGTTTTTCTGATGACGCACCTGCATCACACCTCTAATTCACTTAATCGAATCATCACATTCCTCTAAGAGGGTGAAATATCGTACGATGAAAAATGACTGAAAATGATTATCAGCCAATCTGTTTTTTTTTAAGTGGAGTGAATGATGTCTACTCCAGGCACACTAGGCTTTCGGTTAGTGAATAAATAATACCCTACGTCATTACGTCAAATGTTGATAAGATAACCTACTTTATTTGATTACGAAAATTCGTTATTGGCTCATATAACCCAATCATAGGAAGTGTTGTATGTATTTCATGGATTGTTGCTGATGCTTATCCTAAAACATAGGCTGTCAAGCACCAAATTGTTCGTTGCCAAGATTGCTTGGTCTCTACAGCCGAAACGGAAGCGACGTCATTTCTCAAAAAAATTTGCGTTAGGAGAACAACAAAAAATATTAATTTAATTACTAAAGAGTAAAAAGTATGTTAAGAAGTTGCCTAGGTTAGGTTAGGTTAGATGATCAATGATTTAATTTAATAATTAATTTTCATTCACGTTAGCACGATGGGATATCTGAAGGTATGGGCTCCTAAGAGTTTAAGTCTTGATCATCAAAACGCGGGACAGTCAAGAAGGAAGTGCTGAATTGTTTCCACCTTATCTTTCTCCATACAGCTTTTGTAGATGACGTCTGCTAGGATTCCCAGCCTTACTGCGTGGACGCCAATAGATCACTAGATCGCTTGCGATCGCATGTACCGATGGTGGCCCAGCGCTGGTCAAGCTTAAGCGAAGCCCAGCTAGTAGTCGTACACAAGAGGTTATGGGAGCACCGACCGCTTCTATTCTACAGATAACGGTTCTCTTCAACATTACAGTTTCACCAGTCTTATCACAGATTATCACACTCGATGCTATTGATAGAGAGGTTAGGCACTCTGTGACCAGCTGCGAACCCACTGTTAATGAGTTCAAGGCTAGTATCGCCTCTCAGCTATCTGAGTGGATGGTGACTTCTCTGAAGGAGGTTGCAAGGAGTTGGCAGAGAACTCTTGAGAGTAAAAGCCTCCACCCACTCACCTATCAGTGAGATATTTCACTTTTAATATAGAATTTATATTTCGCAACGTAGAAATAGTTAATAAAATAGCCAATATTTTGACTTTTAGGGAATTTAGTATTTGAGAGAAAAATTCGGGAAAATCAGGGTCTGCTCCGGTTACGGAAGACCATCCTGTCATGTCAGGTGCGGCCTAAAAAGCCTTATCTTTCCAATGTAAATTTCTATCTGGTCAGTCCAAGCCGGGTGAGAGTTAAAACATGAATCTCCTACTAACAAAAAGTTGTCCAACGACTGCATAACTGCACTTAGGTGCTCTATTGGCAGGTCTATTTCTTGATATGTTTCACTCACCAAAAGCTCGCACCGCGGTTTGGAGTTCAAATTTAATATCGTTTTATTTGTACATGTTTGTGCAGGGAAATAAATTATTCAGGCCGTAAAAAAAGGTTAAATAAGAACAAATTAGTATAGAAGTCTTAATTCTATGTAAAAAAAAAAAACTCGAAGCTAAGCTAACCTTAGTTTCTAATATATGACCAATTATCCGAGGTAACCATCTTAAAGTCAATAGCATAAAGAAATTAATAGTATGGGATCTTGGGAAAAATCCGTTTCCTTCCAGTTCTGCGTACGAACTTAAACCTTTCTTGCTCGTTTTATTTACGTAACCGCAAGGGACCTGAGTTTTTATCTGGTCCAGGACAGTCAACTCGGCTGATTT